ACCTTAAACAATACACAGTTCTGTGAAAAAGTATTCACCCCTTTCAATTTTTTGAAACTTTGCCACACATTGATATTATAGTTAATTTTGACTTTACTGGTAGCAGACTCTACACATAAACATCAGTATTTGGCCTTTGTTTGTATTTGGCATTTATTTCACAAAGAATGTTATCCAAAACATCAGGTGCCAATGTGAAAAATTACTCCCACGTTCAATCGGTTGAATTATATAGAGGGCCAATATTATTAATTGGTTTATTTATTTATTTTTATTATTAAATTTATTTGCCATTCATCCCACAGTTCAAAGTGACTCTGAGCCTTGGTAATCAGATAAGATTGAGTCAGCCCCATCTCACAAATTTTAGTTTCCTACGTCACAATGAAGTTCTCACAGCAGATTCTAGAGCAGGGTTTCTCAATCTCAGAAACTTTTAAGAAATATGGATTCATTTCCGAAAATTCCCCAGCCAGCGATTGTTCTGACCTAGGCTTCCTGATACAGTAAAAACCACACAATTAGTCCCAAAAACCTTTTTTATTATTTTAACGGCTGTGAATTCCTTTCATTCACAGCGCGTGCTGAATCACCAAGCGTTAATAAATAGTCCAACAGAAGTCTGCCACAGTCCTTCGGATAAGGCTGGTAAACATCCACCTTTATCTTCTTTGACATGCTGCCAAAGACCTAATTGGCAATTATCTTGGCAAGGCCACACGGAAACACATAGTCAAAAATAGAGCTTCAAAGTACAAACCGACACCATCCACAAGGTTGTTTCCTGCAAAGGCCCATGTGCCTTTGTTCTTCCTTTATGTCTTATGGGAGGTGCCAATCATCTCCAAGCCTTACTCCCAAGTCGTCCCTTTTGTTTTAACTGTTCTTGCCTTCTGGCAGCTCTGTGTATGCGCGCACTAGGAACAGGCTCCCCCTGTTCCTCTGCCACTCTGATGTCCGACTCTGGAGGCTCCGGTGTCCACACATAACTCTCAGATGGCCCTGGCCCCATCTCTGCCTCCGACGTAGAGCCCTCGTCCGAGCCTTCCCTAGACTCCAGGACTGGTCCATGTCCCTCCCCAGCCTCCTCACTGTCTGACTCTGCTGCCAGCTCCGCAGGCTGCTGGCGGACCACAAAAGGGATGGTGAATTGACAGACTGAGGAATTATGGGAATTGAAGTCCATGCCTCTTAAAGTTGCTGAGTTGAAAACCACTGTTAGAGGAACATCATGCCCCATGTAAAAAAATAAATAAAATAGGAGTACTTCTATTAAAAAGCAATCAATGCCCGTCTCTTCAAAAAAAGGTTGATCTATGATCCAATATAATTCCTGCCAGTTGTCATCTTCTTCTCTTTCAGTGCTTCTTCCCTCCCTACAGGGCATGTTTTAAAAAATTCCCATTAACCATCATAGGGAATTCAATTCCATTTATTAAGACATTTTATATATTGACTATTTTGGCAATTTATTCCCAGCTCATTAGTTAAATAATCCAGTGCATTCTACCGCACAGTATCAGCCTGTCATCTTAAATCTATGTTTAATTTGAAATATAATCCAACCATATTAACTGCTCTGGACCTACTGAGAATTAAATAATTTTAAATAAACATAATGGTAAAATGTATTTATTCAACAATCAAATATATGTGGTGGTTGAAAAGTGGAGAGCAAAAATTAATGCATCACACACAATCTCAAGTGTTTCGCTTCAGTAGAAATTTCATTTCAAAAGTAATTAAATTGAGGAAACATTGCACTTTTTGTGTTTCTTCTCCATCACATTAGGAGGATGCATACTCTTGGAATTGTTAAATATAAAATGATTAGTTTGATCTTTTATTTTTACAGCCTTTTATGGCTCTAGCCTAGCTAGGTGGCAGCCCTTAGCTGAGATCGGCTGATGTAAAAAACAAAGCAGGCTCTGTTGGATGATAGCCTGTCTGGAAAGTAGAACATAAAGTATAGAATAATACAGGTAAAAGGGATCTTGATGTTCTTCTAGTCAAGCAGGAAACCCTAAATCATTCCAGAAAAATGACTGTCCAGTGTCTTCTTGAAAACCTCTAGTGATAAGAGTATCCACAACTTCCAGAGGTAAACCATTCCACTAACTGAGTGTTCTCAGTCAGGAATTGGGTGATTTGATATTCTGATACATATCTAATTCCCTAAATTAGAGCTATCTGGGACTTCCTTTCATTGGAGATAATGGAAGCTAATGGTTAGAACTTTTAAGTGTCAGGTTTAAGGTTAGTTGTTTTTTTATAGTATGATCAGTTGAAATTGAGGACTAAAGTGGTTTCAAAAAGTAGCTGACTTACATAAATTGAAGAATACAGTATAATGCTTATTTGGGCATGGATCCAGCTGTAAAAACTATACTCAGGTCTATTTTACAGAAGGGATATGAAAATACGATCGGTAAAGCTACTCATGGACAGAGCTTTTGCCAATGTCAGTAAATGCATTTCAAAAAAGAAATCCCCCTATCATTCCAGTACACAATAAAACAAATGAACAATGAAATTCACCTATATTGTTTTTTTCCGCTACAGAATGCCATAAGCAGCTGCGGAGTTATGAATGGAGACCAAAGCTGAATTTAATAGTCTTTATAGTGCTGTGTATAAGAATGTAAAGTTGAAGAGCTTGCAAACAACAGCTGGAGGCTTTGAAGCTCATAAATACAGAATATGGATAAATGAAATAGCTGCTAAGCATGGCTAGTGATAGCACAAGCTCTTGAACCAATGTAATAAAGTTGTAACGAGTCAACTCTATGGGGAAAAATGAACTGACCTAAATGAGCAATGTGATTCATTTACATTCATGCATACATGAAAAGGATGCTTTTTGGGGGGGAAACCCAGTTGTAAAATTATGGGGCAGAAACCACTTGGCTAGTATGGATCAGATGTGAATTCCCACAAGTCTTATGAATTGGCTAGAAATTAAATTTTCACATTTTTACTACTCTGATCTTGTTATATATAAAATGAAGTCATTTTTTACTGAATCGCTGTGGTCTTTATGAGAAAAGGATATATATAGCCTTTCATATATACAGGTGGTGTGAGGTGTAAGGTTTCCTGCTATTCTATTCTATTCTATTCTATTCTATTCTATTCTATTCTATTCTATTCTATTCTATTCTATTCTATTCTATTCTCATTTCCATTCCATTCCATTCCATTCCATTCCGCTCAAGGTAGTTCTCGATTTATGACAACTGGGCCTGAAATTTCAATTTTAAGTAGGTGTGATTGTAAAGCAATCATCATGTGACTGGATCTGATTTAATGATCATTTCCCCTATGATCATTAAGCAAATCACCATGGTTAAGTGGATCCAGCTTCCCTAATTGACTTTGCTTGTTGGAATCCAGCTGGAAAAGTCCCAAATCGTGATCACATGAATGCAAGTTACTGCAACAATCATAAATGCAGGCTGGTTGCCAAGCATCCAAACTGCAGTCATGAGACCATGGAAGTGGTGTGATGGTTGTAACTTTGAGGATAGGCCATAAGTCACTTTTCCTAAGGCCATTGTGAGGTTGAACTGTTAAATCAGCAGTTATAACCTGAGGACTACCTGTACTCTTCCTGCTGTCCAGTTATGGAGAATAGGAAGTTATAACTTCCCTCCCTTTCCTGCAAAGAATACAATGACAAGAAAAAACTTTACCTGGGATACAGTGGCTGGTGGGAGATACAGGAATAGTGGGTAGGAAAAGTGGGATTAGGAAGGAAAGTTTAGAGGGCACCCCATGGGAATTAAGAGGGCCCAAGCCACACATTTCATACAGGTGGACACATACAGCCCCATTACACCTTCAGAAACAGCAGGAATTCAAAAAGGTCTTCAATCAATTTCCTCTTCCTGCTTTAGATATCTAGATGTAATCAGTTCAAGAAAAAAATGCTGACAACATGGATTAATGGCTTGCTTTAAAAACTGTGATAATACATAATTCTGGTGCTGTTTTTATATTTCTCTTTGCTACTGACAACCTGCTAGAATATATGTTCTGATTCTGGCAAATTTTCCCATGAAGACAGCAAATAAAATATATTTGTGGCAAATTGAACAATGTTATAAATATGGATACTGTTCCCATTCATTTAAAGAATGAACAGCATTTATTCAAACAGACATTAGTCAAGAATTTAAAAAATACAAATGACTTATGATGGTAATCCGATATACCAGTAATCATAATTTTCATATCATGATTTTCTGTTTTTTTTAAAAATCAAGATTACTTTGAGATAATACAGCACCAGGAAGCAAAGATTTATTTATACCATCTTCTTTTCCACTGATTATCTTCTTCCCTTTCATTGTGCGTTGATAGTGATATTATGACAAGGAATTTTAGAGATATAGAAATTGAGACCAGAGAATAAGTCTGCACGGTATGTAAAAAATATGGTGCAATCTCAGCATTTTTACATTATAAGATTATTTATATGGACAAGTGAAAAAACAGTAATATCATTTATCCTTTGTTTCAAATTCCTTTAAGTAACTTTTAAAAAAAGAATTGAATTCCTAAGTTCATCTGATTTTATAATATCAGATTTCAATGCACTTTAAAAAGTAAATTTCAATTTATTTAAATGATTCATTAATAGTCACCAACTCACACTTATGTTAAAAAGCAAGAGAGATTTTCATTGTTTAACTACCAGTGCATAGGCCAATTCAAGAGAAACTACAAACCAGTAAAACAGCTCCTGCTGCTACCATCGGCTTCAGATTATTATAATACATCTCAAGGCAATCCAAATTTTCTTAGGAAAAATACAGTTTAATAAGTAAAATGTAACAAAAATGTGAATTTCCATTTTTACTTTTTTCTCTTTCCCTCCCAACACATTAATATTAATCACTACTGATGGGTTGCTTGGTTAGATCATGTACTTAATGTACAGCCCAATATATTAATTTATACTTGGCTACAATATTGAGGGAGTACTCATGCTACAAAAATTTCTGTGAAATGTGTGGACCAGTTTTATCAGCATACCAAAGTGTACAAAATTTCAATCCCAATAAAATACTATTAATCATAATTATATAAGCATTTAAAATTCCAAAATATTGCAATTAGAAAAAAACACATAAAATTGTACGAAAACATAAATTACATTTCAAAATCTGTACATGATTCATCTCACAATAAGGCATTGATCAGAAAAAAAATACATTCTGTACAAAGTCACTTATTTTGGTTAAGAATCTACAATCACTATTTTTTAAAAAAATGAAGAATGTATGTGCATATGTCTAGTACCTAAAATAAAATAAATTGACAATTCTGATTGATCACTCTGATCTCTAGCACTGTCTTAAAAGAAAATTGAGTGAAAGCTGTGGTGACCAGGGAAATGTGGTGATCTATTCCTTACTAAATTTTACTTTGAACATTACTAAAGTTTACTTTGAATGTTACTAAAGTTGTAACATTTTATTTTTATTTATTTATTTAAAACATTTATATAGCGGCCCATCTTATAATCAACCCATGGAATCTCCTAACTTCCAACATAGCTTATGTCTGTCATTTCTTTGGGGACCAAAATATGCTTCCTGCTAAATCAGGTCAAACTTCCATTTAATTATAAAAAATAATTATGAAAGGATTGGTCACTGAGAAAAACTGTTTGCCATTCTGCTTTTACCTGTACATTACCCATTTCTGAATAATTCCTTTGAAAGTTTAATGCATCAGCAAGATAAACATGTTGTGTTTTTTTTTTTTAAAGAAGCATTTTGGCCATCTCTTCAATCAATTCCATGTCAGCTACTTTGCTTGGTTATCAATTTAACCAGAATTCATTAAAAATACAATCAGAGTTCAAGATATACATGAGGTGCAATGCATTTCTACTATATGTTGCACAGCAACAGTATTTTATAAAAGCAGCCTCCCTGCAAGAGCTGTAATCAACCCTAGATTTTAAAATAACTATTCTACATCATGTTTGCAAATTTTTTCTGGAAAAATAATCCATCAAAACGGTGTATTCAATACTGCTGCCTTTATGTAGATCTTGGGTTAGCAGTTGTAGATAGGAGTCTGAAGTAAAACACTGGTTGTATAAATCAGAAGAACTACAGTCTTCAGCAAACTAAAAAGAAGTCCTGCATTGTCACTGTGCTAAGGCAACGTCCTTAGGGTTCTGACTGAAATTCGGTGTCATCCATCTGAAGAGTGTCATTATCACCCAATAATTCTGTTTCAGGCACAGAGCCCTCTTCATCCTCCTCTTCTTGGACCAGATTCTGAGCAATGTCTTCTGTCCCATTATGTACCTCTTCTACTCCTTCGGTCAGGAGAGCAGCCCGGTCAGCCATGGAAGCATTGGAGGGAGCAGTTGTTACATATCCTGTACTAGTGGAACCACTCCCACTATGATGGGAAGCTGGTTTTGGAATCATCTGAGGAGCTATCTGTTGAGGAGCCATCTGCATTGGGATTTGGACAGGATAAAAATTTGGCAAATATGCTCCATAACCTGGCATTGGTTGGTAACCATTGACAGGAATGTAAAGTTGAGGAGGTGGCACCATTGGTCTTATTTGTCCTTTCATTGGTATGAACTGTGGTTGAGAGAACGCTTGACTTTTTTGCTTTGGCCCAACATACCTGGTGTTGCTGACATTACTAACAGGACTTGTACTGAGGGAACTGGTTTGTGTAGTATTGCTTGCACCGGAGGTTTGTGCAGAACTGTTGTAATTCGACAGGTTTCCCCATGTTCTCAATCTGTTGTGGATATCTTTGAATCTTGGTCTTCTATTGGGAAATTCATTCCAACATTCTAACATCAGTGAGTACATCCATGCAGGACAGTCATCTGGACATGGCAAAACCTGCCTATTTCTAATCATCTCAATGACATCTTGATTGGAATAGCCACAGTAAGGCTGCAAGCCATAGCTGAAAATCTCCCACAGCACAACGCCGTAAGACCAGATATCTGAATCAACTGAAAATTTGCCATACATGATTGCTTCAGGGGACATCCATCGAATAGGAAGAGGATTATTTCCCATTAGTTTATAATAATCAGCAGAATAAACTTCCCTGAAAAGACCTAAGTCAGATATTTTCACACTGAGTTTATCGAACACAAGCACGTTTCTGGTGGCCAAATCTTTGTGGACCACATGGTGGCTTGAGAGGTATTCAATTCCTGATGCTATCTGAGTTACAATGTGAAAAAAATCAGCTGGCTCCAATGTTGATTTCACTGTCTTTTCATCATCGGTGCTACCAACATCAGAGTGGGGAGATCTCATCACAAGGAACTCATGAAGATCGCTATGAGCACAATAACTAAAAATCATGCTGATCGGCTGTTCTTTGGTCACTATTCCCAGTAAACAAACTATATTGGGATGCTGTAATCTTGATCTCATCATTGCCTCATGCTTAAATTCTTCTCGGAGAGTTATATCTGCTTTATCCTTGAGGGTTTTGATGGCAACGGTTTGTGTTTGCTCCCCTGGAGCCGTGCCAAATAGGTGACCCTTATAAACTTTTCCAAACTTCTCTTCACCCAGCTCCTCCATGAACCTCACAGTCGAAAGGCTGATTTCTTTTAGTTTATTCTGAAAGTAAAAAGAGTAATGGGATAAGATGGCCGACTATATCAGAAACCCTTAGCAGCAAATCAGCGATAAAAATCCTAGTTAAAATTAAAGGCTTTGGTCACATTTATATTAACCTGCTTAAATGCACAACATCTGTTTCAAGGGCTTTTACTACCTTGGCACCTGGTCTGAAGTCAAACAACTGAGAAATGAATACATGCTGGAAGAATATATTGGAAGGTTTGATATAGTGAAGAAAATCCAAATGAAAATGTCAAAGCAGAAGACTCTCGAGTAATGAATATCAAATGTTTTGTTTATGATGTAAAATAACCTGTGCGTACTGTATGCATACATTTGGGTAAGGTACCTGTTTGTGCTGATTAATGAGAGGCATTTCCATATCTTGGCTGGGAGAGGCCATCAGCTGACGACGCTGTGGAGTGGTGGCAGAGGCCTTCTGCTTGTTTCTGCACATGCAGACCAAGAAGAAAAGGCAGGCAATAACTAAAGGGATGGCTATGCTTGGAACCAGAATGTAGAGGATTCCCATTTTGCTGCTGTCACGTGGGCCTGTTAGATTAAAAAGGATTGTGGGTTTTCAGACTCAGTTCAAAAGCAATGCAAATAATTTTATATTCCAAGGCTAGAGACAATGTATATAGCTCACTGCAATATGTACATGTAGTCCTCGACTTACAATCATTCGTTTAGTAACCTCCGGAAGTTACAATGGCACTGAAAAAATAACTTATGACACTTTTTCACACTTACAACCATTGCAGCATCCCCATGGTCACGTGATCAAAATTTGGATGCTTGGCAACTGGCATGTGTTTATGTCCGTTGGGGTGTCCCAGGGTCATGTGGTCACCATCTGCAATCTTCTGATAAGCCAAGTCACTGGGGAAGCCAGATTCACTTAACAACCCTGTTACTGACTTAAACAACTGCAGTGATTCACTTAACAACTGTGTCAAGCAAGGGTGTAAAATGGGGCAAAATTCACTTAATAAATGTCTTGCTGAGCAACAGAAATTTGAGGCTCAATTGTGGTCGTTAATTGAGAATTGTCTGTAATACGAATTTATACATATCTATATAATGTAATCAACAGTGTGATTACACAATGGATTACAAGAGTAATACAAGAATCCAAGAGCCTATAAAATGCAGGGGATTGAGCGATTAGTATGAATTTTAGTATGAATTTTAACACTATCTATATGGATTGTGTTACCATTAATACATCATTAAGTCACAGACCTTTCTCGGGGGCAAGTGGTTTATAGTAAGATTATGATGCACACATAATTTATTTGCTCACAGATTGCACAGTGGAAAAGCATCCAAAACTGATCCCCTGTGAAAGTATTAGATCAAATCAAATCAAACCTTCATTGCAGTCATAAATCAGCAGAAGGAGAGAATGTCCATAAGAAGTATGGAGTACAATCATTAAAAAGCAAAAGCAATACAATAAGAGTAAAAACAGTAAGCTAAAAAGTAGAAAAGGCTAGAAAAGAAAAGGCTTTTATCTCTCTCACACACACACACAAAATCTAAGATCTAGTTTTTAGCTTAGACTTGTGGGTCAACCTGTTGAAGTAAATAGAATGTTGGAAAGACAACAGGAATCGGAAGTGAAGTTTGCTTATGAGCCAAACTGTCTTTCCCAATGACAGTATATGACTCGGTAAGAGTAGGATGGAGTTGTACCCCCTCTCCTAATCTTTCCTCCATGTAAAATGAAGGAGCACTTGTTCTCTTCTTCTGCTGTCCAATTAGACCTGATTCCACTCCCTCTATTCATTTCTGCACTGAAAAGAAAATAACTGCTTCCTTTCACTATCCTCCTATAAAACAGAAGGCATACTGTGCTTGGAGAAAACAGGAACAAACTCTGATCTGTTCTCCATCATCTTGTTGTGCAGAATGAAAACAGGTTCATGTTAAAACCAAACCTTAAGAAAACATTTTATTGGTTAAAACAATTTGACAGTGAAGCTCAATTACCTTAAGAAGTGGAGAGATTCCCTTCAGTGAATGGCTTGGACTTCCTGCACTGAGTAGGGATTTGGATTTGATGATCTAAATGGCCTTTTTTAAACTCTGATTTTACATTTTATTTTCCCTGCACAGAGTGTCTTTTCCCAAGCATGGGAGCAGGGAATAATTGCTCTTTGTCTTGTACTGCACAATACCAAATTGTGGAAGAGAAGGCAGAAAGTGAAGAAGAAAGGACAGAGAGAAGAATGGGTGGAGGCAAAAAGTAAATGGAAAGCAGGTGAAGATTTGGGGGAGATATCTGGTTATACTCTCCTAAAGTTAAGAGGATTTTGGGCTAGAGCAAACCCAGCACTCAAATAAATGTTCATTTACAGTGGTACAACCTTATTTGACCCACATCAACTTCAATATTTATATTTTGTTCTTTTAGGAAAGAGCAAAGATGCCACAGAGGATGTAAAAAGGAAAATGTAATTAAAGCAAAGTTCAAAACAATAAATTGATTTTAGTCATAATGAATGTTAATGAGCCATTGTTCAAAGCCTTGACCTCATTCCCATTTTTATTATTATTATTCCCAAAGATCTGATAGTCTAATTCAGCATCAAAATAAATCAATGGCAGCTGATGGGACTTTCCTATTATTTCACGTATCTGTGAAATAAAATATGAAGCACATCACACAAAGAATCTTTAATTAAAGTCACAGTACAAAGAATCGGTCCTGACCGCATTTGGAAATAACATTAAATCATAATTTAATCTCTCCGTAGTCCTACCCACAGGCATCCATTTGGGGCCCAGTGAAAAACTTAAAAGCAGCAAACATTCAGTGTAAGAGGCTATTTCAATATAAATGTCTGTAACATCATATTCCACCATTTCCATCTATTTTCAGTTTAGGGCCAGCAACTCATTTTAATAAAACTAGCAGAAATTAAAAAACATAAAATATTATAATTGCCTGCATAATATATATAGTGCTCTTATGCTGAAGGGCAACAGTCAAAGCATACTCATCCAAACAGTACATAAGTAAAAAATGCAAAGAAGTGGCTGTGTCCTAAGTCCTATATTTCTGAGATAACAATTGTATATTGAACTTAATCATATTTCCTCTCACACATCTTAAAGGCATAATAGACATGTTTTGTTCCCACATATATATTTTTTTACTTTAACATTTGTCTATGAATAAGAATGCAATACTTGAATTAAACAGCTGGACAGCTGTATCTACTGGACAGAAATGCATACACACACACACACACACACACACACACATATTGCCAAGTACTTAGGTGTCTTAGCATCAGTGTCAATGAATACATACATTATGCATTGATAAGAAAAGAATTGATTTCATTTATAAAAACATCAATAAAAAGCATTTTTTGCGCTTCACACAAAGCAAGAATAATTCATGCTTGAATAATTTTATTCTAGAAATGGTAAAAAAAAAATAGTAATACATACTACATGCAGGTACTTCACACAGTTCCATGCGTACGTTTTTGTTCTGAGTAAAACACCAAGGTCCTTCCATCTGGCTTCCAGGATTGCGGCAATAAGCATGCCCACCTCCAAGCTCGGGAAACTCTGTACTTGTGAAGTCATGGGGATGAGGATGCTGGGACTCCCAATACTGACAATTGTGGCCTGACTTTGTGACACTGACAGTTCCTCTATAATCAGCACCAGAGCCATTGTAACACTGGTGATCTGCAAAAAAAAAAAAAAAGTAGATTTAACAAGAGACATATGAAACAATAAGAAATGTTCCCATTCTCTCTCTCTGCATCGTAAATGTGCTTCTTTGCTATGTACAATGTGTAACTCTACAATAAAACCTCTGCTCTACAGTATTCCTTTCTTTGGTTTGGGATAAGGTCAGCTGCTTTTTCTAAAAGTAGAAAATAAAGAAAATAATCAAGCCTGTAGAAAGAAGCTAGAGTAACCTAGCCAGGAAGTATGAGTTTCCAATAAGCTTTATGCCTAAGGAAGAGTCCAGAAATTAACTAGAACGCCCATGTCAACATTGCTTTGTCTCAACTGCTTGACTTGCTCAAAGTATTCTAGAGGATTCACCACCTTGAAGCTCCTCCCTCCTGCCCCATTTAGTTTTTTTCTTTTCTTCTGCTTTTTTCCTCTTAGATCTTTATCTTGCTAATGTATTAACTACCGAGCACCATTTTTATTTGTATATTGCAGTGATGGCTAACCTTTTCCAGACCGAGTGCCCAAAGTGTGTGGCCGAACCCCCAAAATGTAAGTGTATGACCCCGGTGCATGTGCACACAGCCCCCTGCATGCCCGCCTCCCGCATGCGTGCACGGCCCCTGCACGCACCCCAACCATGTGCACGTGGCCCCCGCAGCACCCCCCGCATGTGCGCGCAGCCCCATGCATGCACTCCACTCTCCACACATGCACTGCAGAGACCCGATGACCAGCTGGCTAGCGGGAGGTGCGCACACATGCGCAGCGGAGTTAAACTGGGGTGACAGCTTGTGTGTCCACAGAGACGGTGCTGCATGCCACCTGTGGCACGTGTGCCATAGGTTTGCCATCACGGGTATATTGTATCTAGTATGGTTACAAAAGATTATCTCCTTTCTTCACCAAATTTATTTCACTGTTTAACAACATTGCAAGCTTATACCCTCACCGCACTGGGTTTGGAGGGTTTGAAGCAGGCACAACTTAAAGCAGTTAGCTTGAAGAAGGGCATTCCTTGCTTTCAGGGAGGTCTGGTCAGGTGCTTTAGGCAGCCTCTGCATGTTTCTGGCAATATTCCTTTACACTGTATAGATGAGAAGCTGGAGGAAAGATTTCACTCTTTCTCATCATTCTATCCTCCCTCCAAGCTAATTCTAAGCAGTCAAAAGGCAAAACATTGAAATGTGTTGTTTTGGAAATCAAGCAAATACATACATTCAGAAATGGCACTCTGATGAAAAATCCATACTAATTTTGCATTAAACCAGGGAGGGGGGGAACTATGGCCCTTTTATGACTTGTGGACTTCAACTCCCAGAATTCCTGTGCCAACATGGCTGGCTCAGGAATTCTGGAAGTTGAAGTCCACAAGTCATCATTCCCCATTTCTGCATTAAACAAATAGAAGACAAAAGCAGAAAGGAAACGTGATAATAACTTACATCTATTGAGCCGTTCTACAGGAATTCCAATTTTTATACAGTTGGCAGCCTCCAAAGAATCGGGCAGTGGCAAGTCTTCACATTTAGGTGGCTGGAGTTGCATCAGAATGAGAGGATTGGATCTAGCAATGTTGTACTCCTGCCGACAGAGATCGTTCTCTAGAACTTCACACTCATCACGACACAGCTCTCTAGGCTTAGGTGTCCGGGAACGCTCATCACACAGTGGAAACACAAAGTGACAAAAAGATGGGATGGCAAACTGGGAACACTGATCAGATAAATGAGTGGATGTGCCAATCATAGTAAATGCAGCTGAAAAAACAGACAGAGAAGCCAATAATCAAGATCCAGTTTCTATAATAAGGAACATCAATACTGCTTTTTATGAATTTGAAATGACTTCAAGCCAAACTACTAAGGGCATTAATAAAAAAATCTATCTGCAACGGAGATCAGATACACTGTCAAAGTCTTTATGTAAAGGTAAAGGTAAAGGTAAAGGTTCCCCTCGCACATATGTGCTAGTCGTTCCTGATTCTCATCTCTATTTCAAAGCCGAAGAGCCAGCGCTGTCAGAAGATGTCTCCGTGGTCATGTGGCCAGCATGACTAAATGCCAAAGACACATGAAATGCTGTTACCTTCCCACCAAAGGTGGTCCCTATTTTTCTACTTGCATTTTTTACGTACTTTCAAACTGCTATGTTGGCAGAAGCTGGGACAAGTAATGGGAGCTTACCCCATTACGCGGCATTACGGATTCGAACCGCTGAACTGCTGACCTTTCCATTGACAAGCTCAGCGTCTTACCGACTGAGCCATCGCATCATACATAGTTTGACACATAAGGTTAACAAGATTCTGCAGTAGGAAAATGGTATATGGTACTAACTGTGAAGATCAATTTTCTAGCATCCAGTCAACCCAGTCAGTATCGAGATGAGGAAATATTTCAGGGATTCATACATAACTAGAACAAACTTTATCTAGTTTTCAAATATTTTTAATTTGTTAAGTCTTTTGTTTTGTGGCATCATTCTAGAACTGAGGAAGTGACTAATCCCTTTCAGAATTCTAAGCCTTGCTTTCACAGCAAAGGGGAGGAGGCAATTTACTATCAGATTAGATGTCTGTTACATAAATTTGACTTCCCAGGAAATCTACCAAATTGATTTTTTTTCATTCCAAAAACTTGTCAATTTACCAGGGCCTATTGATAGCTCACAAATAATCCACTGTAAGATTCTGTTATACAGCTTTTCACTGATTTGAATTACAAAGGAAGAGGTTTATAATATTCTACTAATTGGAAATAAAGAGGCTCAAACCTGCCTGAAAATCCCACGTGTGTGTACTTGTCTAATCCAAAATGTATTGGAATGAACTGTGCTCATTGAGTCATAAGAAAAAAGCACAATGTGTTTGTTAAAAGCATGCATTTCTGTAGTCTCACTTGACATGTTTTGTAGCCGAGTTTTTGCAAGTTCTAGGACTAAGCCATAGTTAACTCTAGCTAAAATTAAATTGTTTATTTTCATTACTACACTGGATTAGTATTAAAGATGCATTTTCTACTCTAAAACAGAAGTCAGTAAATCCTCAAGCACTGGGTGGACACCACATTTTGCTAAAAAGGGATGGGTATTATTAAGCTCAATTATACTATTAACATTAATTCATATTTTAAAGCCAGAGCCTTGAATATTGACATACTTTGCCTCCTCTTCTGCTTCAGCAACAACTGCATACCAAATATTGGTATTTATTATTTGAGGGGTTTTTTTTTTTTTGAATACATACAGTGGTGCTTAAACATTTGTGAACCCTTTTGAATTTTCAATATTTCTACATAAATACCACTTCTCCATAAAAAGTCCGAAAACTTTTGGGCAGGTTTCAAACAAACTAATAGTTGAATTTAAAAGCTCCTGAATCTACTATTTAGGTAAAATAAAGGCATTTTTTTTTAAAATTTGATTTATATGCCGCCCTTCTCCGGAGACTTAGGGCAGCTTACAATGCGTTAAGCAATAGCCTTCATACTTTTGTATATTTATACAAAGTCAGCTTATTGCCCCCACAAACTGGGTCCTCATTTAACCTACCTTAGAAAGGATGGAAGGCTGAGTCAACCTTGAGCCTGGTAAGATTCGAACCTGCAGTAATTGCAGGCAGCTGTGTTAATAACAGGGTGCTTTAGACCACTGTACTACCAAGGCTCTTGTTGTTAGTGCTTAGGTTGCGTTATTTAGCATTCTCTGTTATGGTTTTTTTTAATTGCAAGAGTTATGACTGTACTGAATTTTTAAAAATGAGCATATACAAAAGAATTAGGTGGTTGCTGATGACTTCTGTAATCTGAACTAAAGAGTATAATGAACTCACTTTAATCAATGACGACACATTATTGAGCAAAACAGACTTTAAAAATGCATATAAGGAAAAAGCCAACACAGGTGAAAATAACTTCTGTCTCTCTCTCACACACACACACACATAAACACCACAGAATAAAAATGTTCTGTCAGACAATCTGATTCCTGAGAAACTGTATATCAACTTTGATTATTTTTTTTTTCAGAGAAAGGAAATTGATAAACAATTTTGTGACCGTAAGTGCTGGGACTTACTGCCTTCATTCAGTCTCAATGATTGTTGGTCATATGAAGGAATCAATACGTAATTCATATGCAGAGCTAGTAGCAATTTCATCCTTCAGTCATGATGCTGCTACTGGCACTTTCCATAGACTGTTTGGTTCAAGCCTATGTAACTTCATGAAAGAATGTGAATTAGGATTTGGATATTTTCTCTAAATCCTAAATTGAGTTAAACCAGAAAGATGTATATTTATTCAGGATCTCTGAAAGTTATCCTGAAACTACTTAACTACTCTGAGCAGGGTGGGTTTGACAGTGGAACATAGAAATCCAGGGGAAAAAAAATCTGAACGAGGACCAGTTCCATGGCTTAATCTCCTAAACACTGACTTTATATACCCTGCAGATCCTCCTGATGACGTCGGAGCCCTCAGAAGGTGAGCTGACTCCCAGGGCCCGATTTTCCTATAGGCTAACTAGGCTTCAGCCTAGGGCCTCAAGATCCAGAGGGGCCTACACAGTGTGGGATTCTGGGCGTTCTAGGTGGCTCCGCGGAACCCTTTGTTAAATTGCTGGCTCCCCCGCCCCTCCGCACCACTATTTATTGCCAATAAATAGTGGTGGGCGAGGGAGCCAGCAATTTAACAAAGGGTTCGGTATTTTTTTTGTAATGTTATTGGCCCCCGGAGCTTCAGCATAGGCTAATTGGCCTCCCGGCTCTCAGCTGATTTGTCTCCGCTGTTTTGCTTCCTTCCAAAGAGTGCTGATTTTTTTTCCCCTAGCTATACTGAGAAACGAAAGTGAAACTGCTTTGCTGTTGCTGCAAGGTTGGAAAATTAGGCAGGCAGAATTCTTTTCTTTTTCCTCACCAAAAAAGGTACGTGCAGACAATGGGAAATTTAGGGAAAAAGAGAAGAGTTCAGGATTTTAAAACACAAAAGAAAAAAAAGCTGTATTTAACTAGGGAATTGTAATAATTGAGATACTATTAATTGTATATTTCTGAAAGCAGAAATGGTTAAGTTGTGGTTTGGAGGAATATATGGGGGAAATTATTTGGTTTATTATTATTGGTAAATATAATTAATGGATTTGTAAGAAATTGGATTGCATGGAAATAATTGGAATATTCATGTTCATATTGATTAATATACAAAAAAGGTAGTTATATAACTAATTGATTTATATTAAAATGTTGAATTTATATTAAACAACTAATATTACATAATTAACCAATGTGAGGATGGATATAAAAATAGATGACAATGGGAAGGGGTATAATATAGAATAGAAGGGAAAAATTGAATTTGATTAAGATTAGAGATGAGGATGAGGGTAATATTGGTTTTTTTACAAAAATAGATGAGGAATAAATATGGCAAAAAGGAAATATAGAAATTGTAAATTTAATTGAAATGACTAAACACTGTTTAAATTTGTGAACCGGCCAAATACTCTGTTCAAAGAAAATACATTGTATGTTTGTATGTGTGTTTCTAATTATTGTTATTTATTCATATTTGTTCTCTTTTATTCTTTAAAGTTTAACAATTCATTCTTTATCTTAATATCTTTATATTTGTTTGGGGTTGGCTTTCTTCCCTTTCATCTTTTTTATTGTATAGCAATCTTTCTCCTCAAACCTACCACCTTTCTTTTCTTTCCTTCTTACTTTCTCTTCCTCCCCCTCTTCTTCTCCTCCCTACTTCCTCTTCCTTTCTCCTTCTCCTTCTCTCTTCCTCCCTCTCTCTCCTACTCTAATTTCCCTTCCCTTCCTTCATCCCTCTCTATTGCTGTATCCTTTTATGCATATGGACTACTCAGAGGGCTGAAAAAGTTATTTCTGACTGGTCCTTGCACTTTTGACCAGTCCTCGAACTTACGACTGTCCTCACATTTTACGTTTTTGCCCTATCTTGTCACCATGGTGAAGAGAAGCAGTTGTGAAATGAGTGACATGGTTGTTAAGAAAGCTGCACGGGCATAAATGTGAGGATGGTCATAAGTGTGAGGACTGGTCAAAAGTGCGAGGCCCAGTCAGAAATGACTTTTTTCAGCCCTCTGAAAAAAGTCTATGCACATAGCCACGCCCACCTGGTCACATGACGAGCTACCCACACCTACACAGTCACGTGACCAGCTAGCCACGCCCACCCAGTCACATGATTGCCAAGCCACACCCCCAACTAAGCCACGCCCACAGAACCTGTTGTTAAATATTGAATCCCACCACTGGTGAAAGGGCCTCATAAATGGAATAGCCTAGGGCCTCTTTCAATCTAAATCCGGCCCTGCTGACTCCAGTTTGAGTCCTCAAAGAAATATTATACAAATGAATTCTACAGGTTTGGATGATATGAAGATACCAAGTCTCATCACCGGATACAAAGTTTTGAACTACAGAGGAGTAAAGGAAGCTTCAGCCTTACATAGCAAAGTAGGCAAGGAGAAAAGAAACCCATGTACAATTTAAACTATATTTGTGTTTCCAAAAGCTATTAGGATTGTTTCACTTGCCCACTAAAATGTTTTAACACCATAAAGCTCAACGTAATATCTTTTAGCTAATTTTCCTATTTGGACAGTAGATGTCACTAATTTCCATTCTCAGAATTATATATCTCACTGGGCTAACCAAGAAAGAAATTAGTGGACAGAGTACATTCACTTATGATAATTTTTTCCCTTCATACAAAAATGTTTTTGAGAAATTTCCCCAATTCCACGTGAGGAAGATTTTATATATCCAAAGAGATATAGAACAAATAATCAACTGATCTTTTTGTGCCTATATAGTGCTAACTTTTTTTTGCAAAGATTGTTTGTCTGCTTATCAGTGGAACCTGCAATGGCAATGATTTAAGGCCTATATTTCGTTTCTATATCACAGACATAAAACTTCTTTAGATTATAGTAGGCTTCTCCTGTATGCAGTTTTGTTGATTTACCATTCCATTTTTCCTGAAAATTTATCCCAGAGGTGGGGAAGCTGACATGGAGAATTGCATAAGAATGGAAATTTAGTGAAAATAGTCCATCTGTTAGTAAACAGAACTTCACTTTGATGAAAAGTACCAAAATATAGCTACAATAACTGTATTTACAAATGCATCTCCTAAATCAGGGTGGCAAGTGGGGAAGGACAATAAGTAGAAATCTAAGAGTGTAAAATAATTCTTATCATAAGCATTAAATATACACACAAACAAAAAAAAATATTGTAAACCATATAGTAACAGTGTGTTTAGAATATAAAGATTTAGAATATTCTGGTCTCCTGGACTGAAAGGAAAAGGACCGCTCTCACAGAATCACTACAACTTTCAGGTAGAGGGGAAATCTAGTATTTTTTTAAAATTACTAGTCTTTTCATTTTCAGCTCTCCTTTTGTGCCTGTAATCTTCATCTATTACTAGGAAAATTATAATTTTAAAAATGTAAACAGCAAACTTTTATCCTGATAGAAATAATTAAGTTGTGGCATAACAAAATTATCAGCACATGTTTATGGATGACAGTGCACACTATATGTGATACTTGGAGCTCTGGCATTCACAGACTTTTATGAACAGCTGCAGTTACTTATAAAGCCTCAAGAATTATCACAAAATAGCAGCCTTTGGGTAACTACCCACAACTTTATTTAGTTATACTTTTACTTTCCGGGGAATTACATTACTTAATACTTAGATAACAAAAAGGTGCATATAAAGGCCACATATTAGTGACAACAACATTCAGAATAAATCTATAGAGAACTGCTTGCAGGAAATGTGCATTATACAAATTTTTGTACTGCACATAAATGCAATCCATAAATAAGAAGAGAACTGCAATGATATTTACACACAGTGTTGTGGAGACAAAGCCCCATTCTACCTCAGAAAACAGATTCAAGGCCAAGATGAAATGAACTTAAAGCTGGAAAAATCAGATAGGAAGGCCGATATATTACGCTCATTTATTCCACTAAATGTAACCCCCTTTCCAAGCACATAGATATAAATATTTTCATATAAAAAAAGCATTTGATATAATATAAACACCACAACACTTGAAATGTAATCCACAGATTTCATGTTGGGAATGCATGTAACAAGCTCTAAACAGGAAATGATTATATTCCATTAAGTGGTCAACAAAAGAGATAGCATCAAAGTATCATCTAACTAAGCAAAGATCCTTTACAAAAATCAAGCATCAAATTCCTTGCTTAAAATTCACAACTCTGAAAATAGCAATCAGACTATGAACAAAGAAAGAGAATTAATTTTCTAATCTGCATATGTTAATATTAAGGGCGTCATTTGCATTCCTTATGCATGAGAGTGGAGACTAACAAGATAAGAAAAATCCTCTTCTCTATAAAAGTTATAAAGTCATAGGGTTTAAAGAGCCAAAAGATCATGTATAGATCTTCTAGCGTTTGGAAACACATTTTTCTTTTCTTTTTTTCAGACACAGTAAAAGACAAAGTAGATGCATCATCCATTTCTTCACTCATTTTTTTTTCAAAGACTATAAATGTCCTACAATAACTCGTGCAACCATTATTTAAGTAAATATAACTTATTTTATAAAAAAGGGTGTTTTTAAAACTTTTTTAAAAAGTACAGCCCTAATCCTCAAAAAGCTTTCCAACAAATATCAAATTGGTGCCTACTGAAAAAATTACTTCATAATAAAAAAGCAACATTGCCTCAATTTCTTCCAAAAATTGCCTGGCTTGATTTCCATTTATGATGGTGTTTAAACTGGATTTAAGTTTCTGCATGAAATACAATATTCTCTGACATGAAGAGAAGTAGAACTGACTTACCAGTAATTCGGTTTTCAATTTCCCCTTGCATTTGAAGGGAGTCCACATAAATAGTCCTGTTCCCAATGATTCGTGCACAGGCAATTCCCCTGTAAGGCTGGCAAAACCCATCTTCATGGTAATCTTCTCTGCAAGACACAAATTGGAAGCCTATTACTATGTCTACAGATATTTCTATGTCCCTACTGAGTTTAAAGTATGCTTTTTAAAGGAAATGGGTGGTAAAACTGACATTATTAATTCTCTGAGACATCAATTTTCTTTTCAGATTCACTTGACATTGTTTCGGAAATTAAAAAGGCACCAAGGAACATTTTAATTGAAGGGGTGGATGGGAAAGACATCTGCGAAGTGAAAACAAGTATTATCCTAGAAATACTAAGCTAATGCAACATGACAGATTATTTTATTAAAAAGATAGCAGCATGTGTCATGTTTCACCCATCATGCTGGTATCAAATGACAAGCTAAGCAATTAGGCAAGCAGTTGTTTCTCTTCTCCTACCTTGTCCTGCAGTTCTTCAATTCTTACAATGGACAGCAAAATAGATCTTGTCAAGATGTAATTAAAATATGGCATAATTCTGAACTAGGGATTAGGTAAATGGAACGAAATCAGTGCTTAACTTCCTTCTCTCCCATTCCCATTAAGTTACACTAATGCCAAATTCTTTTTCTGTTACAGAACCTAAGTCATATGTTGAGTTACTATCTTGGCTGAACTCTGTCCAACTTTCCAAAATGAGTTTAACATAGTCAATTTAAGTTGCTCCAGGACAGCACTGATTAAAAGCCATTTTTCTCAATGTCTTGAGCAGCCAAATATTGAGAACTGGAAAGACAAGTGGCCCTCATACCTAGGAGTTACCATTTCATCCAGGATATCCATTAAGTTACCTTCCCACTGAAGTATCTGTCTATCTAACTGCATTTACATGCTTTCAAATTGCTATGTTTGCAAGAGCTGGGGTGAGTAACGGGAGTTCACTTTGTCACACAGTAGCTTTCCATGCTGGCCACAAGATCATGGAAGTATTGTGGGGCATTTTTGGCTCTTCAGCTGAGAATTGGAGATGAGCACCACCCTCTAGAATTGACAAGACTGGCAGGGGAAATCCTTCCTTTTTTTTTTACCTTTATCTATTAAATTAGATGATATTTTTGCCTTTGGCCTCATCACTGCTATATTCTAACCCAGTGTTTCCCAAAGTGTGGTACGCGTACCCCCAGGGGTACGGGAAGAGTTTGGTGGGGGTACGCGTTGCACCGGAGTTTGGTGGGGATCATGTGGGAATATTCACTGCACCGTGCTTAGCTGCGCCCACAGAACAAGGAAAGAAATAGGCGCGTATCGCAGTTTTTACATGGGAACTGGGGCCATCGTACATCGTATCGCAACTCATTATGGCGGGAACTTCTGCGCATCCTTCGCGCAGCTCAGGTTCGGCCATTTTTAAACTGCAGGAACATTAACAGTTGACGTTGAGCCGCGGAGCTGTTTAAACGCCAGAGAATTGCAGTGTTATCTAACAGTTAAGAGTTAAAGCATATGTTTTTTATGACGGGTACTCAGCGTTACGAAAATTATAGAAGGGGTACACATATGTCAAAAGTTTGGGAAACACTGTTCTAACCCAAGGTATTTGCAATCAATAGTGGCATGTGAAAGATTTATGGGGGGAGGATGGGGGCTAGTTCTGGATTGTATTTTGTTGGTATTTTGTTCCAAGAAAGAATCCCATTTGATCCTCTTATTAATAATATGTTGTACAAGTAGTCCTCAACTACTTACAACCACAATTGAGCCTAAAATTTATGTTGTTAAGTGAGAAATTTGTTAAGTGAGTTTCCCCCCATTTTACAACCTTTCTTGCCATAGTTGTTAAGTGAATCACTGCAGTTGTTAAATTAGCAATACGGTTATTAAGTGAATCTGGTTTCCCTATTGACTTTGGTTGTCAGAAGACTGCAAAAGGGGAATACATAACTCTGGGACACTGCAACAGTCATAAAGTCAGTTGTCAAGCATCCAAATGTAAATCATGTGACCATGGGGATGCTACAACAGTCATAAGTATGAAAATTGGTCATAAGTCACTTTTTCCAGTGCTGTTGGAACTTTGAATGATCCCTAAACAAACTGTTGTAAATCAAGAACTACCTGTACTAATAATGATTTTAGATGTTGTACCTGAGCCACACTAGGTGGTAGCAGCTGAGGATCTACCTTTTTCAAACTGTTAGGATAAAATAATTCATCTAAAAGATTTAAAAAGTAAATAGTCCAATAAGCTGAAGGAGTCAGTTGCTTCTTGCTGTCAGGATACTCTTGCCTGACTCAATTGAAGTTACCCAGACATTCAACAAGGCATTGCTAGATAAAGATCTTTATTGCACATTAGAATGAAGATGCTTTAAGCAGTTGATGGCTCATTGTCAACACACCTCCCCCTATTATGCCCTCTGCAGTTTAAAGCCACAGAAACAGATGCTTCTTTTTCTCACATGCTCTATATCTTAACAGCTTGCTTTGAGTTTCTCATACTTAGTGCTAGGTGGCAGTTGTTGATAAGATAATTGAAATTCCTGCTCAGGGAACCTCTAATGCAAAATGTAACCGCTATATCCTATGTTCTAATAAAAAGTCTATAAAAGTGAATTTAAATTGATTACAGCTTATTCAAAAAATAGTTTGTTAGAAAGATTTGTTTAAACTTAAGTATCAAATTTGTTCTTGTCACCAAGAAATTATTACGCAACTCTAATAATTCAGATGTCTCGTATGTTAATAACAGTAGTATATTTTTAAAATGTGTAAGTTACTAAGAAACTCTTTGTGAAAAGAACAAATATTTCCCTTATCCCAAATTATTATTGGCCACTTTGGTTATTGTTTAAACACAATTTTTTTCCCAAGCATAATTTTCACAGTGCGCTCTTTAGCAAGCTGTTTTAAGATAAATGAAGTTACATGAATTAGAGCAACTGAATAATTTTCTGTTTAGAAACCCCAAATTTCCATGTATCTCGAATAGAGACTTTCTCATTTTCTAACATCTTTCCTAAGCTTATGAAATGCAGAAATTTGCATCTGCTTGTTTACATAACATCTTGAATCATTATCAATGTACTGTAAAAAAATCACTATTACACTTACCTTAAAATGGTACAGTTGCTATCTTCCCTTATTTACTTTTATTCTTGGCCATATTTTCTTAGTATGTGATACCGTTGGCATCATGTTGTTTGTGTTTTAGTTCATAACTATGCTGTGTTTCCAATAATAAAGTTTGCAAGACGTACTTGGGAAGATGCTGGGACCGAAATATAAATTTACATTCTAAGATAATTCTACTCTGAAAATTATATAGAAATATATTTTATAAGGGCCTGCAAAAATGACTGAGGATGCAAAAGAGTTGCAACAAGGCTTGGAGATAATTCACAGGGATGCAAGAGAGTCACGGGTGCATGGGGAGCTGCAGGGAGGGTACACAAGGAGGCATGGCTAGACTTGGGGAAGGTGTGCAGGGGTGTGCAAGGGCCAGCATGATGTAAGCACAGAAGGACTAGAGGAGGGCGTGAAGGTGAGTGTGTCTTCCCAGTGCCTTGGACCTTCCCTGCCAGCTTCTCCTTTGACTTTCTGGGAAAGCTGGCAAGGAAGGTCGCAAATAGTGATCACATAATCATGGGCACTGCAACTGGTCATAAGTGTATCCCAATTGTCAAGCAACCAATTTCGCTATCACATGACTTCAGAGGTGCTGGGAGGGCTGGAACTCAGGAGACTGGTCATAACCATCATTTCTTCAGTGCCACTATAGCTTCAAATAAGTCAAGGACTATCTGTACTTATAGGTTTTTAAAGATTATGTATTAATTTATGGTTTTAAAATGAAACGAATTAAACAGCACAAGAACATTGTTTATGGACATCCGTGGAGATTTTCAGTCATCCAGATTATGGTTGTCCCAAAGGTGCTTTTCAAAAGACAACTTGGCTCTCTTTGTTTTTCCTTGAAGACATTTCATTTCTCATCCAAGAAGCTTCTTGGATTCTTCAGGAAGAACTGAAGAAACTTCTTGGATAAGAAGCGAAACGTCTTCAAGAAAAAAACAAAGAAAGCCCAGTTGCCTTTTGAAAAGCACCTTTGGTACATTGTTTATAGAGATGGCAAAATTGGTTGTCAACTTCATTATGCCGGAAATATAAAGCAATGGGGAAGACTCTTTTCATCTATAATGTGGGCTCGATCCACTATTGTCCTGTTTTAATTTAATATTATTAAGTTTGTTAATTTGGTTCTGGGGACATGAATGGGTTTTAAAATGTATTATTGAATTAAATACTGAAAATGTGGAATTTATTAATATACAAAGAACTCTAAATTAATTTAATATGGAATGTAGCAAAGACATTTATTCTGTTACAGTTAAAAAAAGGATCAGACTGGATTTACAGTTTTAAGAAGACGATAATGCTTGCTCTCTATTTATGAATTGGTTCTTTTATTAACATATTTAAAAGATTGACCAATAGTACTCTATGTGGGTAAGGGTAAATGCTACATTAAAAATGAGCTATTTTCTGCAAGTCTAAGAATATACTCTGTTCTCTTTTTTTCTGTCTTTTTTGTGGGTTGTTTTGTTCTTTTTGTTCTATTTCTGCATGTTAAAATTTTAAAATATTGGAAAATTCAAAAACAGATAAAGGAGGAAGTAACTAAGATACAAGACTTCACCAAATCTTCTGAAAGTTGGTAACCCAAGTCCTACTGTCTCTGAATTCATTTATTCATTCAGCAGGATAGAAGAGTTGCATTCACTTTGTTTAAACCCAAGCCTAGTTATTGTGTGAGCTAGAATCAGTGGTGGGATTCAGCCAGTTCGCACCACTTCGGGAGAACCGGTTGTTAATTTTCTGAGCAGTTTGGTGAACTGGTTGTTGGAAGAAATCATTAGGGCAGAGAACCGGTTGTTAAATTATTTGAATCCCACCACTGGCTAGAATTCTAACAAAGCAGTGTCAGATGGATTCATTCAGTGACCTAAAATGCTTGCCTTTGCAAAGAAAACCAACGACAAGTTTCAGAAGACTAGGTAAATAATATTACAGAACATTTTAGGT